ACCCTAAACCCAAGCCGTCTAAACCCTAAACCCTAAACCCAAGCCGTAGAAACCCTAAACCCTAAACCCAAGCCGTAGAAACCCTAAACCCTAAACCCAAGCCGTATAAACCCTAGACCCCTATAGAAGCCCTCCAGTAGAGACTTGTCTGAGTCACTGAGGTCTGCTCAGCGACTCCGCAGCTCGTAGCGAGGCCGCGGAGCACTCAGACCCCCCAAAAAGGGTTTAGGGTTTTCGGTTTAGGGGTTTAGGGAGCCAACATCACTGATCGATGGGTCCCCTTTTGCAGGAACTAGCTTGAGAAATGCTTCTTCCGCAGAAACCCTTCGGCTCCAGTTACCTAGATCTCAACAGTAGGTTACTAGCCATATCTGTATATATATATATATATATATTTATGTATTTTTATTTTTATTTACATATTTTTTATTTATGCTACATCCCCAGTCAGTTCCCATTATTTTAAGTAACCGGAGCACGAGGGCAACTGGTCGGGGATTGGCTTTATGGCAAGGAAGCTGAGTGGGTTGCTACCTAAATTGAAGTCCCCTTTTTAGGTCCCCAAAATAATGACGGGCACCCTTCCAAAACCCTAAACCCTAAACCCTAAACCCAAAACCTTCCAAAAAGGACCAGAAAAAGCGACCTAACTTAACGTAAAAAGCTACCCAACTCTGGAACCAGCCTTTCTCTTCAACCCGCACGACTCGGTCGACCTACTTGTCGCAGACTCAGCGGGCCCTCGCGCACCTAAACCTTCAACCCTTTAGGGTTTAGGGGTTTAGGGGTTTAGGGTTTAGGGTTTAAGGTTTCGGGATTCAGGGTTTCAGGTTTAGGGTTTAAAGGGTTTAGGGTTTAGGGGTTTAGGCTGAACCCTGAACCCGAAACCCTATAAACCGTGTAAGCCCTAAAACCCCTATAATGACTCTAGCACGCTCATCCGGAATGCTTCGGATTTGCTCCCAAACTCGACACCAATTACAGCCGAAATCCAGCCACCCTAAACCTAAATCCGCCGTCACTAGACCTCAAACCCCAAATCCATCATGTTCTCAGCTCAATGGAGCAAAAATGAATCCATGGGCTTGAGCCCTCGAGATCACGATCCCTCTATGTTCAGGGTGTGAGGTCGCCTAATTCATAAGCCTGACAGTCCTCAACCCTGGAATTTACGCACTGCGCCGTGAAGACACACTATTGCCGCTCAATTTGGTGCTGAGGCTCTCCCGGTTTGGGTTTAAGCTGATTCTTGCACTTCTTACAGACGTGTCTCGCCAGCATCGATCATATTCCTCTCATCATCATTACTGTTGCTGATATAAATCCTGCACTACCTTAATTAAGGACCCTAAACTATGGGAATTATGGTATACTCCTTATTATGGCTAATGCAGGATTTATATTAAACCCAAACCCCTAAACCCTAAACCCTAAAACCCTGAACCCTAAACCCCTAAACCCTAAACCCTATACCCTAAAACCCTAAACCCTCAACCCCTAAACACGAAACCCCTAAACCCTAAACCCTAAACCCCTAAACCCAAAGCCCTAAGCCGTAAGCCCCTAAACCGACACAAGCCGGCTCTCCGGTTGGAGGCGACTTCGACAAACACCTCCTTGCCTAGAGGGTTTAGGGTTTAGGGCTTAGGATTTAGGGTTTAGGGTTTGGGGTTTAGGGTTTGGGGTTTAGGGTTTGGGGTTTAGGGTTTAGGGAGAATCGGGGATTGAAGCTTGCCCAGAGACTCCCTAAACCCTAAACCCGAAACCCTGAAAAGTGTCTGGGTATCTGCCGTGTTCTTTTGGTCTTTTTCTGGGCTACACGCCGGGCGCGTATCCTGGAGATGATGGAGGCCACGGACCTTTCAGGTTTAGGGTTTAGGGTTTAGGGTTTAGGGTTTTAGGTTTTAGGGTTTAGTTTTCAGGGTTTAGGGCTTAGGGTTTAGGGTTCAGGGTTTAGTTTTTAGGGTTTAGGGTTTAGGGTTTAGGTTTAGTTTTTAGGGTTTAGGGTTTTAGGGTTTAGGGTGCTTGGGTTTGATTGTGTTTTTTTTCAAATCGTGGGTTTAGGAGTTAGAGTTTGAGGAATTAGGGCTTATAGAGTTTAAGGATTCTATAGGGGGCAGGGTTTAGAGTTTGGGGTTTAGGGTATAGGGTTTCAGGTATAGGGGGCGGACGCGATTGGGTTTTGGGCTGCTTTCTGAGGTTTTGGGCTTAGGGGTTAGGGCATGGGTAGAGGTACGGGTTCAAGGTGGGCTTCAGGCTAAAGGGGCTTTAAATCGTTTTTACGAAGGCGCATAATGGTGCTGATGTTGCGCATGGTGATCGAAAAAATAGGTATCAACGTTTTAGGGGTTTAGAAATTCGGGTTTAAGGGTTTCGGGCTCATGGCCCAGTATTATACCTGCAGGTACGTGTAGAGTGTAGAAGGAGGTTCAGGTCTAGGTCGAAAACATCTGGGGGACTTCTGAGACGGCTTAAGCTTCCCTGTACGCCTAAACCGCAAAGCTGTAAAACCCCTATGGAAAACTAAAACCCTGAGGGTCCCAAGTGCCCTCTCTGACATCCACAAGCATCAACTTGTTAGATGCCTTGGACCGTTAGAGTTCGCTCCCTCTGGTCCTTTTACCCAGAGAACCCTCAAAATACACATTGGGAGCTAGGATTAGGGGGACCCTTGGGGATATAGACCCTCTCAATAAGGTCCCTTTTAAGAGAGCCAAAAGTAGGGCTCAGAAGGGGTACCCTTTAAGGGTACCCCTAATAATACTACCTACACATGACCGTTTTAGGCAACTGGGTCTCAGCGAACACAAACTCGAAACCCTAACACTGAACACAGGGGCCTTGATGCTTAGAATAGGGTTTGGGGGTATTTTGTGGTAGACTTCTGTTGACGAACTTTGCGGAATGGTATTACAAATGAGTCCGACCCCTATATACCCTAAACCGCAAACTCTATACCTTCAAAAAAACTTGACAACCCTAAATCTTAAACCCTAAATCCTAAACTCTATAAGCCCTCAACCCTATACCCTATAAGCCCTAAACCCCATAAGCCCTAAGCCCTAATAGCCCGATGCCAAGTAAAGTCCAAACTCTGCCGTGCGCTTTTTTTTTCCAGTGGGCCCTGTGTGCGGCAAGCGGTGGCTTTGCCACAGCCCGGCTCCCCGAGCTTCTTCGGGTGTTAGGCCTTCAAGGGGCTTTAGAGGTTCGGGGTTTGGGGTTTAGGGTTTAGGGTTTAGGGTTTAGGGTTTAAGATTAGGGCTTTTGGGGGTAGGGATTTGGGGCCTCATGGGCTCCAGGGGTTTAGGGCTTTAGGTGTGAGGGGTTTAGGGTTCAGGGGTTCAGGGTTTAAGGCTTTAGGGGTTTATAAGGTTTGGGGTCTAGGCCATACCGATTGCCAGGAACCCAAGCTACGCTTCGCAGACCCCTTATGCCGAAAACTCCTGAAAGGCTCTTGAAATTAGCAGTCTCTCTTGGGGGTCCCTTACACTACAAATTTCGGGTCCGCGAATTATTCCGTATAGTCGTATAGGGCCCCAGATATTCAGACCCAGTGCTCGTCTAGGGTGTAAGTGTTCGGGTACATACCTGGAGCATGGTATTGTAGTGGCCGTAATAAATATAATGGGGATTTGGTGGTTTCTTATTATAGTTATAGTGTACAATTTACCCCCCCCCCCCTCAAAAAAAAAGGAAAAATACATATATATATATATATATATATTCTAAAAATAAAGTTACCCCAAGAGGAGCTGGAAAGATCTGCTGTTCTCCAACAGACCTCCTAAACCCTAAAAAAGGGTGGGTTCTTCCGGGTCCAGGTAGGCCAAGCCTAAACCCTAAACCCTAAACCCTGAACCCTAAACCCTAAACGGCCCCAAACCCAAGCCAGAGCTTTGAGAAGCTGCGCAGGGATTCGCCTCATGCGTGCTCTGACTATGTCGAGCCGAGAGCTGGACAGACCGACGCCTCCGTTCTCGTATAGTATCCGAAGAGCTATATATATATATATATATAGTTTCGGGTTTAGGGTTTAGGGTATACATTGACAGCTAGACACCCTAAACCCTAAATTACCAAACCCTAAACCCTACTGATATTGTCTTAGTGTCGGGAGTTTGCTGAGATGTTGCGTTGCGTCTGGCCTATGGCTTCGGACGACCTGCCAGAGAAAGCGAACAGGTAACAAGCTGCTTGGCAGCTGCACCACACAAGTTCTGCACAACGGAGGCTTGCTTGTCCAGCATTTTTCCCTAAACCCTAAACCCTAAACCCAAAACCCTAAACCCCATTTTAAGGGGAACTGAAGGTCAACTCTTGGGGTGGTAACGACAAAAGCTTAAAGGTCACCTGCTCTAAGTTGGAGACACAGACGTTCTGCCTGACTCCGCACGGGCTATTTTCCGCTACCCGAACCCCAAAACCAACCCTAAACCCCAAAAACTAAACGCCCTTGGCCTCTAAAACCCTAAACCCTAAACCCCTAAACCCTCAACCCTAAACCCCTGAACCCCTAAACCCCCTTTAACCCCAACCCCTAGACCCCTAAACCCTAAAACACCCTAAACCCTAGAAGCCCTAAAAAACCCTACACCTCTAAACCCTACAAAACCCTGAACCCTNNCCCTAAACCCTAAACAAAAACCCTAAGCCCTCGAAGCCCTACGTAAACACCAAAGGCCGTCTCGCTTCGAACATCGCCGAACTGCCGCTCCTGGGCTTCCATAAGGAAGAGTAGGGTTGAGGGTTCAGGGTTTA